ACAAAAACACATGATCGCTCCGGCTCGCCTGGTGCGTTCCAGCCTGGGTTTGCATAACGCCCGGTCGTTTTTCCGGTGAATGCTCATCCGTTGAAAACTCAAGCTGGATTACACTAGGCAAGCCGGTGTGGCTTTGCACGATATGGCTTTGCACGATTTCGTGCTGTACCAAGGTCGCAAGAAATCACTGTAGCTAGAATTTTTGACATACTGGCCCTTGAAGTTCAGGAAATTAACTGTGCAACTACATGACATTCCAGATGCCGGCTTCAGTGAGTCGAGAAATGAAAGGTTGCTGGTGCGCGAAAAAGACTCCGCTAGAAAATTTGAATCTGAAGTGATTAGGCGCACGTGAGTAAGGAACATTCCCTAAAAATTCGAGCCTTTCAACCTTTTTCATGCCAGAGTTAGCAGTTTTTCCGCCAAAACCTTCACATGCCCGTACGTAAACTCCAGACGGTTCTAAGGAGTTGAATTTGAAGTCCTTCGGTCGTACGTGAGTGCTGAACATCCTTCCAAAGTTTTAGCCTTTCAGCTTTTCTCGTGCCCGAGTTAGCAACTTTCTTGCCAAAATTTTCATGCACAAACATTAGTATCGCGGTCCCGAGGTGGCACTTGGCTGGTGAATTAATTGGCAAAATTTTGCGCCGGAACTTGCTTGGTCGCCGAGTTAAAATACCCGGGTAGACCAACACCCACACATACACACACACACACACACACATACATTCACAAACATATATACATACACAAAGACAGGGTCGTTGCAATATTCGTTTTTATGCGTTTTTGCTGTGCAACGCTATAGCAGCTGCTACAGCCAGCAAAAACACATACTGTCGAGAGGCTATCTGTGTGTGTTCGGAAAGCGAATGCATTTTGTCACCCACTTTCATCTCAGCAACCAAGAAAGCCGGGAGGCTGAAACTTTGGATATGTGTTCCTACCCGGTGTGTCATCCTCCCGTTTTAAGGTCTTTCCCCTTACGCGCCTAAACCCCGCGTACGGGACCCCCAAAGAAATATGTTAACGGGAAGCGATTTCATGAACCAGGCAAGGTAGAAGGCTGAAACATTGCAAGGATATTCTCTATGCACGTACGAGATAAAAATTTTAAACTCAGCCCTCTAGCTCCCCAACCACAGCCTCAAGCAGCTCTTGAACCCAAAAATCTTTAGCAATTCGGACCTGGACCGCAATTGTATATGCAAATGAACACGGATTTTTTGAAAAACGATCGTTCGAGCAATACTTTCAATTTTTTAATGAACTGAAAATTTGCGTATTTTAAAAATTCGTTCGCAGCTCTGACCTTAACCGCAATCGTATATGTAAATGAACGTACATTTTTATGCGTTTTTGCCTATATGCAAATTG